TTTCCCCACTCGCTGGCCTGTCTGTATACTATATATCGACTTTTTTTATTCATGCTACGATTTCAGAATCCATTGTACCATTCGAAAGCTATGCCTTTTTCTCATTTACACCATATTACTATTATGTTCCAGGGGTTCTAAGTTGGGTTCTGCTGTCATATAAATGTCATACGTAACAGTTTTTCCCCATGCTTATTATCTTATTAGACTGATTTGTAAATATTGATATTGTGTGCAATGTTATATTGTCGATTTTTACCCCTGCGGGTACCCGCTGCGCTGGGTAAAATCGTGCTACTATAATTCATACTACTAATAATTGGACACAATAGAAACATTCTATATAGTATATAGCCATACTTCATGGTGATATAAAAATGCTGTCCTGTCTCTTTATTCCTGTCCCCTCCCCTTTCCTTCTACTCCCCTCTCCCTCTCTCCCCCTCCTGCACTCTCCCTCCTCCTCTCTGTCTCTCTCACACTTTTGTGCACTCTTGTGTGCACTCTCTCTCTCTCTCTCTCTCTCTGCACGTGTCTGTGTCTATGCAGTTGTACGTATCAACGGGCACGTGGCAACCTACTTGTAATTGTCATACACTTCATGCTTGGGAATTGAGACTCCAGGATCTTCCTCCAGGTGGCTACGAATCCACGTGATGGCATTAGCCTGGTCCTGCCGACTGCTGCCCGCCGAACATCCTGACTGAGGTCTGGCAGAGAAAACATGCCGCTGTGTAAGGCCACGCGAATCACTGCTCGCCACGACTTGACCTTACAACGCAGTGACGTCGGTTTGAACTTGTGACACTGGCTTAAACTTGTGGCACTGCCTTGAAGTTATGACACGTGGCCCGTTGTTAGAAACATCACAAACAGCTATAGCTATTGTAAGCCTAGGGCCATAATAAAAATATTGTTTGTTTGCCCTCACTCAACCGACCCGCCAAAAAGGGGCCGACTCGAAATTTTTTTATTGATCTTTCCCATTCTTTTTTTCTACAAATTGTATCACTGTACATTATATAAATCTGTAGGCAATACATTATATATACCAAGCAAAACAAAAAAGGTATCTCCACAACACAAGCACATACGAGCATGTTGACACCATGCTGAATTTGTAAAAAGACCCCCCTCAACAAAAAAAGCCTACCAACCTACACATTCTTTTCAGCCTGGGTCGGTTGAGGGCAAACAAAGATTTTTTTAATTGTGGCCTAGGATGTCATAACTTTTTTCATGACACTTCATTTCAAAAGTTAAGACCTTTTACACATATGATGTCATAACAATGACGATGCAATAAATGTGTGACATTGGTTTGAACTTGTGACGTTGGTGTTAACTTGTGATGCTGGTTTGAAATTCTGACAATTGTTTGGACGTGTGATGATGGTTTGAACGTGTGACACTGGTTTAAACATGTGATGCGCTGGGTTGAACTTGTAAAGTAGGCTTGAATTTATGACATGTATAGGTCTGAACTTGTGACACTGGATTGACTTCCGTACAGTAGCGCTCTCACTGAATTACACCGACTGATAGTTTATACGCCCACCAACCAAGGATTGTTTGAAGCACCAGCGAAATGGACAGACCAACAGAACATGGGACCAGAACATGAGCACATACAAAAGAAAAGCCAACCTTGAATTAAGTAGGCTCAGGTGTCCACTCAAAATCAGCTTGGGATAAATAAGCAAACTTAGGTAAACGTTACCAGAGTGAAACTGAAAGTGTCTGTAAACGTTTAATAGTAAAATAGCAGGACTATGAGCCACATGTTAGAATCGATTGAAGGCCCCTTTTTTATACATGACATAATCAGTGACTTGTTTACTATGAAGTTCGACCATATTGGCAGTACAGCATGTGCACCATACATGGCAGCCATAAGTTTAAAGAAATAAACAAGTGCCGCAGAGCGACAGCGTGTGACAAGTGTTCTGATGCTAAACTCGGTGGCAAACGAATCCCATCGCCGTGTTCGCTCTCCCTCGTTGGAAATGGACAAGTACGGACAAACGGATAGCCCTTATTTCGAACACTGGGATGGTATCAGGAACCTTCTCGAAGAAATGTTCGTTGGGATCTTTATGAAAGTTGCCACGAGATGGCGCGTACGTTTGGATGTCTTAAGATTAAAGATGGAAGCTCCCATCGTACGTAGTAGCAACAACTATTTGCAAGACGGAATAGGTAAGCACTCATCCATTTACCTCATACATTTACCTACGCAAGCCTACAGGCTGAAATAGAGAGCTGCCACCTGTAACTAATTAACGCAGGCAAAAACAACACCGTACTATCAACACCACATGCACTGACAGTGGCATAATTAAGTTACATGTAACGCACTGACAGTACAGAATGCCATAAAAATTATATATGATTTAAGGAGCATAAACCTTCAACCAAATTTAGCTTTTGAAATTTCACTGTGACATTGTAGCCTCATACATGCAGGCATGTATAGATTCTACTAGCAAACCCGCAGTCAAATTCTTTCTAACATAGTAACAGTTAACAAATCCATGTTTAAAT